ATGACCCCAATTTTTTGGCTCATTGGATGATTTGAATTGTAATTTATACATCTTCCAGAGCTTGTGGGTTTCACATACCAGTTTGTTACAATGGAACCGTCYWCATTTCTTATAATGTTCATATCTAGGAAGGGTAAGGTTCATCAATTAACATAAGTTAAAAGATCAACCATATGTTAATATTATTTATATCATATGCGAAATAAAACATTATTGATAAAAAAATAAATGAACGTGAAAGCATTTAATACATTTCGAATTCAAAAAACGTTCTCAGTATCATTCGATTATTATAGGTGAGTGGTCGATTATGATAATTTTAAAGAAAATAATCAAATTAAGAAAATTAGAAGAATGTCAGGAAAACGAGAGAAGATCTCTTTAGTGATCCTAGCAGCAGTGAGCTTCCGAATTTTATTCAAAGTAAGCTATTTTACGTGGATAAAATTATTGGCACCAAATCTAGGCTTAGGTATAGATTTAAAGAGTCAAGGTAGATGGGCAGTGATCACAGGAGGAACCGATGGTATTGGTAAAGCATATGCCAAAGCACTCGCTGCTAAAGGACTCGATATCGTTCTAGTATCAAGATCATTGATAAAGCTCAGAAACGTCGAAACCGAAATAAAAGAGAAATATGGGGTGGAGACTCGTATCATTGAGGCTGATCTAACCAAAGGTCAAGAGGTTTACTCTAAAATAGCTGCAGTTATCGAAGAACTCGAGGTACATTTATAATGAGAGGAATGATAGAAGTTATGATAATAATGAAAACGTCCTTACAGGTTGGCATTCTAATTAACAACGCTGCAATGGCTTACGATTATCCAGAATTGATGACAGAAGTGCCAGAAGAAATGCTGAATAAAATAGTGCAAATTAATGTGGCTGGTGTGACCGGTGTAACAAGGGTGGTTCTACCAGGCATGATAAAACGAAAGAAGGGTGTTGTTATTAATATAAGCTCAATAACGGGTGATATTATAAGTCCATATTTAACAGTCTATGCTGCTAGCAAAGCTTATATCATTAAGTTCAGTGCTGATTTAGCTGCGGAATTATTTTCGAGTGGTATTACCGTGCAATGTATCATTCCCGGACCAGTTGCCACTAAGATGTTAAAAATAAGGTAAGAATGCTTATTAGTTTATTCATTTATTCATCACGATCGAGTTTATTTTTTGATCAGAAATTTGTTGTCGATTATTGAAAAATTGGAAAATTCGTTTGTTTTTCGCAGGTCAACAAATTGGATGATATCGACTCCTGATAATTTCGCCCAATCTTCCTTGAAAACTGTAGGAATCGAATTATTAACAACTGGATATTTTTCGCATCATTTATTGTACGCATGTGCGAAGACTCTGGCATGGGTTTATAAGAAAGGTGCAATACAATTGACAAGTCGGACTATGTTTAAATTGAAAAATAATTATCTTAAATATAAGATGATGAAACAAGAAAAAATGGAAAAGATAGAAAAAAATGATGCTTTAATTTAGCAGGCATCATCGCGCTATTGGTAAGTTTCTTTCCGTGTAGAATGCAGGAAGGAGATGGACTATTTGTATTTTCGATCCAAGTTACGCTTAAGGCATACTTTAATGAATGACAATTTATTTAACGTGTAAGTTTTTATTCGATTACAAAATTATTCGTTAAAATTTCGTGCATAAAAAATTGTGTATATTTTGTAATAATATATAATCATTAATAGGTTTTAATGCATATCAATAAAATAGTGCTGAAAAAGTATCGTCCATCGGATTTACAAGCCCCATTTCAATATTTCCTGCAATAGATATTAATATATTTTATTCATTATTTCAAAAAAAAAAGAAAAAGAAACAACTTCAAATAATAATATATTAGAATTTCTTTCGTCAATTTGCAATAGCAAGTGCGGTCTGAGAAATTTCAATTGAAATAAAATTCGATCGATAAAAATATAATCACGGTTAATCTACTGAAGAAGTCTAAAATCAAACTGATAATGGTGGTTTTTCTGTTTATAGTCGATTTTCTAAAATAATATTATATTTGAAGAATATTCGCGAATAATATTCAACGATATCTACTTGTTATGTAGTGATACAAGCGATTAGGTCAAATTTTATTGTTGGTTTGAATCACGGCGACGTCTTCCTGCACCACTTTCCATTGCATCTTTTGCTTTTGACACGAAATCGCCCGCAGCATCCATGGCAGATCTCACCCCATCTTTGAAAGTATTTGCCATTTCAGAGAATTGTACTGGTAAACCAGGTGCTTGAGGTAATTCTGGCATATCTACGTCACGCTCGACCTGCAAGCATATGTAATCATTAATATTCACAAAAAATTATTCAATATTATCAAATATATTTTGCTATTACGTACTCTCTTATTGGTTGTAGTTTCCTGTTGATCTTGTGACTCTGCTTGCCCAAGCTACATTAAAATTACATTTTTAATATTAAAAGGATAACATTTTTATGAAATTTAACTCTTTTCTATCGAAGTATACATTTCTGAATAAGTATTTGGTAATTTTTACTCAATCTAAATTTTATGTCTACTACATCTATTAAAGTTCATTTTGTATCTATCTACATAATCTATTTATCAAAATATTATCTACAAATCTATTAATTAATTGGATACTCGTAATTTATACCAATTTTATGATAAAAAAAAAATAAATATTACTTACTACAAGCATTAGGCACAGGCAAGCAACAGTAACGTATTTGATCATGTTTGCTTCTTATTATATTTGCTTTCTGCCCGTACTTCTTCTACTTGTAAAATCGTTAGATTCTCTTTTATATAAATCCTACTAATTACAATTTCGTTACGGTTGAAAAACGAAAAAATAGATACGCTTATATTTTTCACAGGAAACCATCGAGTTTTATCTCGAAGTTTATATAATTTATTATTTTTTTCCTTTTCGATTCTATTTTAGTCATGTTAAGGTATATGTTCATAATAAATTAAAGTATTTAAATAATTATTTCTAAGATAATTACACTGAATTTTTTTTTGTATATAGGAATCATTTTCAACAAGAATAATGTTTTATAAATAACGTAACTATTGTAAAATGATTTAATTGTTCTTACAATGACACTTATTATTTTATTTAATTACTTGAGATAGATATTGCTATGATCGTAGGTCTGATAAATTGAAAACATCGGTACGAATCTTTATTGCGTAATTATATTGTGTAATATGAACATTTTTTTCTTACAATTATTTTTATGTTAAGATGATGTAAGACATTAATTAAATAGAAATTTGTTTTGAACAAATATACAAACATGTTTGTGTGTGTGCATATAGTAATAATCGTTCAATATTATTTGTTCTTTTACGCATTTGCAAAGATTTACGCAATGAATGCTCATGTTCGCAATTCTTGTTCGATTTTGCTGATGAAAAAAGGTTTATTCGAAAGATAAAAGCTTATGATAAATCTAAAGAAAAGATAAGATTCTCTCTAAAAGCGCTTTTAGTTAATTTTTTCTTTTCTAAAGGAATATTTATAATTGTTGGCAATGTTATTTTCATTTAAAGACTTAAGGTTTAATGATATTTGTTCAGTTTCCGGTTTATCTAATCATTTTTCTGGAAATGAAGAATGCAATAAATATTATTAATCATTGAATTATAAAATAGTTATTTAGGTAAATTTAAAAAGAAGAAATTTGTTGACACATCAAAATCAGGAAAGATATTATTTAAAAAAATATACATTATATAATAAAAACATTTTATTATTTTGTCGAATAAATTAATTCGTGTGTTCTTGAAGTCATTTTCTATTAATTCTTATTAATCTCCTAGATAAATACAGTCAATTTTGTCGTTATAATTGTGTGTGTGACGCTATATTTTGAAATAATAAATTTCAACTTATGGTGTAATATTCAAGAATTACGCGCTAGTAACATATAGGATCAAATTAACTCTTAAAAACTTCTTATGTTATCGATATATAATTATAAAGCATTATAATATATAGTTAAAATCTATAAGTAATACTTTTTAAATTATATGTAAATTTATGAAAATATAATATATTATATAAATGTGGAAAAAGTATTTTTTACAATAATATAACTGATGTATACTTGACTAGGGATGTTTACTAGACTAGGGATGTATCGTCATGTGTCGTCATGTACGCTAGACCTTTTCATCCGTGGAGTCATTTCTTTGTATATTTCCAAGTTTTACGCGAAAAATGTTGTGATCTAGTGAAAGATTAATTGTATTGAAAATCAGAAAAGATTTTTTATTGCTACGATTGCAAGCAAGTCGTTGGTATCATTGAAAATAGTTAGATCATTATTGCTTTAATGCATCTAACCTTAAAATTGTCCAAATTTCAAGCACGTTTTTGTAACATCGATTGCATGTCGACTAGGAACATTGAAAAGAAAAATATTCCGGCGTGTTCATCAGGCACGCATTTTCCAGTTTATCGTTCGAACCGGCGAGTATGCTTTATAAGACCAAAGATATGCCAACCAACCAACTATATACTTTTGTGTTTAGCGAACGTTGTGCATTTTGGAACGTATGTAAAGTGAAATAGTATTTATTATACCATTATAGTGCATCGTGAAATAGTATTTAGTATACTATTATAGTGCATTGAGACTTCCGTTGTCTTCAAAACTTAGATCTCTTATTTATTCGTATACATTATTTTGCATCATTATTTTTGTAAGTACTATTTATATTTTGGTTCATTCTTTTTTACATTAATTATAAACGATGAAGATTGTAAAGGCAGAGAAGCTATGTGAGCTGCAACGAGATCCTGCTCATATTCGTAACATTTGTATACTTGCACATGTTGATCATGGAAAAACCACGTTAGCAGATTCTCTTGTTGCAAGTAATGGTATCATCTCTAATAAACTTGCCGGCAAACTTCGATATTTGGATAGTCGACCGGATGAACAACTAAGAGGAATTACAATGAAATCGAGTTCTATATCTCTTTATCATGTTTATAATAACACTGAATTTATGATAAATATCATTGATTCTCCTGGTCATGTTGATTTTGCATCAGAAGTTTCAACTGCTGTTAGGTTATGCGATGGTGCTTTTATTATCATTGATGTTGTCGAAGGGATTTGTCCCCAAACTCGCAGTGCTCTTTCTATATCTTATATCGAAGGTCTCAAGCCTATTTTAATTTTGAATAAAATTGATAGACTGATAACAGAGATCAAATTGTCGCCATTGGATACTTATTTCCATTTAAGACAACTTTTGGAACAAGTTAATGCAGTTATGGGAGAATTATTTGCTAGAGATATAATGGAACGCGAAGATAAAGAACATACCAATATTTCTAAGAATGAGAACGTTACAGAAACAAATCTATCCGATTGGCAATCTGTACTTAATGAAGTAGATGATTCTAATTTATATTTTTCACCAGAACAAGGCAACGTTCTGTTTTCCAGTGCTGTCGATGCTTGGGGATTCAGTATAAAAGAATTTGCACAATTTTTTTCTACAAAATTAGGCTTCAGTAAAAAAGTTTTACTGAAAACTCTTTGGGGAGATTATTATTTAAATAGTAAGACAAAAAGAATTATGAAAGGAGCCCAAGAGAAAGCAAAGAAACCTTTATTTGTACAACTTATTCTCGATAACTTATGGACTTTATATGAAACTATAGTTGTAAGAAAAGACAAAGATAAAATACCCTCCATTGCTGAGAAATTAAATATTAAATTAACGCCAAGAGACTTAAGGCATACAGATCCTAAAGCACAATTACGTGCTGTGTATTCTCAATGGCTTCCTTTGGCTCGAGCATGCAATAATATGATATGCGAAATAGTACCTGCACCGCATAATTTATCTGAAGAGAAGATTGAACGTTTGATTAGTGGAAATACTGATTTTTCTACTTTACCTGTGGAAATGCAACAACTTAAAGAAGCATTTTTAGCTTGCAATTCTTCATCAGAAGCACCAGTAATTGTATTCATCTCTAAAATGTTTCCAGTAGACCGGGAATCTTTGCCAGAAAATAAAGTGAAACTCTTAACTTCTGAAGAGTTGGCGCAAAGAAAACAAGCTGCTAGGCAGAAACATGCAGAGATGATGCTTCAAAAACAATCATCTGAGGAAAAATCTAATGGAGAGTGCATAGATAATTCTGAGATAAAATTAGATGAAGAACCTTTGACGGATAATGATAACACCACTTCTTTATTAGCTTTCGCAAGAATATATTCAGGTACGCTTAAAGTAGGCAGCGAAGTCTATGTTCTTGGACCAAAACACAATCCTGTTAAAGCTTTAGAGTATCAAAAAGCAGGAGAAAATATAGCTGTGGCTACGTTAAAAGATTTGCAACCTGGAAGACATATTACTAAAGTAACTATTGAAAAATTGTTTCTGTTAATGGGAAGAGAACTAGAATCTATTACCGAAATTCCTGCTGGAAATGTATTTGGCATAGGTGGATTAGAAGAGCATGTATTAAAAACTGCAACTTTATCCAATACTATAATTTGCCCATCATTCTCTGAATTAACATCTCTCGCAGTTCCAATTTTACGAGTAGCATTAGAACCAAAACATCCAAATGATTTACAAAAACTGATGAATGGTTTGAAGTTACTTAATCAAGCAGACGCATGTGCCATCGTACAGATTCAAGAAACAGGTGAAATTATTTTGAACACTGCTGGCGAAGTACATCTGGAGAGATGTTTAGAAGATCTAACATCACAATACGCGAAGGTTGAAATAAACGTTTCTGAACCCATCGTTCCTTTCAGAGAAACAGTTGTACCACCTCCAAAAGTGGACATGGTAAATGAAGTTATTGAAAAGAAGGCAGAAGAAATTAATTTAGAAACGTGGACAGTTAATCGACAATGCTGTTTCGAAATTGATGCTAAGCCACTTCCAGAAAAGGTAACTAAACTATTAGAGAAACATGCCGATCTAATAAAGTGGATGGATCAGCATTTCAATAAATTCGCCAAAGAGAAAGAATATTCCTCGAAAGTTGAAAACTGTTCCGATCTGAATGGATTATCTACTTATAATTCAACCGCATCGGATAAGCAGCAGAAAGCAATGGAAAGTTTTGAAAACGATTTGATGGCCGTCTTTAAGGAAGCTGGCTGGAACATAAGTTTAGACCAGATATGGTCGTTTGGACCACGAAAATGTGGACCTAACATTTTATTAAACGAGACGGATTATAATCATCGTAATTTTTGGAAACGACAAACTAAATCGACCGATCCTCGAGTTTCGTAAGTATTCGTTTCAACAGAATAATCTATTACAATTATTTTTGTCCTATTATTATACTACAAGTTTTCATTATTGTTTTCAGATATGACAGTAGTATGGTTAACGGCTTCCAGTTAGCTACGTTAGCTGGCCCATTGTGCGAAGAACCAATAATGGGTGTTTGTTTTGTTTTAAAAAAGTGGCAGATATTTCAAGATGCAAACAGGTAAATTACCATTCATTCAATTGTTACATGTATTTATATTGCATTTCATATTTATTGTATTATTTGTTTCGTTATTCTATAGTGAAAGTGGAAGTGGAAGTCAAAGTCAAGGTCATCTTGGTGGTCACTTGATGTCTGCGTGTAAAGAAGCTTGTAGGAAAGCATTCAATTTAAGACGTCCACGGTTGGTCACACCGATGTACAGTTGCAATGTCTTGGTCAATTCAGATGTCCTCGGTGAGTGATAATTAACAGATATACATATATGCAATTATATATACGAAGGATACAGAGATAAAACACGTTCAATCATATTTTGAAAACATTTTAAGAGAGAATTTTTAAATATTATAAATTCTTATAGTTATTCCATACTTCTAAATTTCATAATCTGATGTGAATATGTTTCATTCGTGGACCCTTCATATATATATAATTAAGTTCAAAATTGAACGGAAACATTAATATTTCAGAATAATTTTAATCGTACACACGTACATACAATAACAAAAGTTTCATCTAATCATACGTTGATTTACGTAGTTAAACGTTTTTTTATATTTTATGGCCACAAAATTTTCCGCAGGCGTTTATTATATTTTTCTTTTGTATCTCTTTTCTTTTTTTTTTTTTTTTATCATACATATTTTCTAGATTTAAAAAAAACGTTTGATCTAACATTATATATTTAAATTGTATGCTAATAGAAACATCCTATCCTCCGGAAACGTTTCAATTGATAGATCTCGATACCTCAAGGAACGTTAGTTAAATTCGTGTTATTGCCAAAGAGTAATAGTGTATATCATAAATAAATAGTTTGAGAAGAGAAGTAAAGACATATGCATACCTATATTTACGTCGATCATAATCGTAAACGAATTTGTTTCTTCTGCGCTTAATTGGAGTCTGTATAATGGCTGATGTAATATAACGATAATCGATTTTCTATACTTGCAATTAAGCGAACTACCTCGTTGACGATTTATAATCAATATTAGAATTTTTCCTTCTATAAGATCGTCTTTACTAATGAACGCTTTCATTTCGATCCTACTTCGAGTAGATTAAATTTACGTGAGACATTAGCATAGACGAGCAGGGATGATACTTCATCGTAATAATAATAATAATAATAATAATAATAATAATAATAATAGTAATAATAGTAATAATAGTAGCATAGTATTAAAAAGCTATTCGTTTAAAAATCTATGTATATACTTATATATATCTCATAATTAATCGTTATATTTTCGATCGTGTAAGCATAACTTACATATACGTAAGTATACACTTTCACGTATTACATGCATTCTTAAGATCTACCTTCTGGGACAAACAATAAAAATTTCGAATCGTCGATTTGAATCCTCTTTATCGAGACGTACAACGATGATAAAGGAAAATATAATGAAAATCTACGATCTGTATTTTTTGTTTTTTTTTGTTCTTTTTTTCTTTCTTTCTAATTCATTTTGTGCCAATAATTTCGAGCCCTCTCGGTGTTTTAACTTAATGAATAATATAAATATACGAGTATATGCATGCTAAAGTATAAACGCGAGAAAGGATGATATCGTAATAAATAAAGAGATGAAATATGAAGCGGTGTATATGGATGGTTTGGTTAAAAAAAAAAAAAAAAAAAAAATAGAAAAGAAAAGAAAAAAAGAAAACATATGCATAAAGGAAAGAATTGGAAAGAGAAAGGTAGTAGAGGGGTTCGTTTGTGAAAGAGAATAAAATTAAAAGTTCCAAATAGAGATAAATAGCTAATGTAAAAAATTGAAATTGAAGAAAATCACTCCCAAACTGCCGTCTTCATTAACTGATCAACCTTATCCCATGGAAATTCTGGCTTATCATCATCGCCGAATAAAAATTGTTCGGTATTTTCTTCCAAATTGTTGTTGAAACCTGCAATATTTCGTTCAAAAGAACCGACTTTCATTACTTTGTCAATTTAAACAAAAATATTGTATATATGATTGAAAGATTAAAGATAAAGGTAGCATAACTGACCCATAAGACTACGTATATGTCTTAATGGTCGGCCTCTTCTATTTCCTTGTACGCACATCATTCCATATACGCGAATTCCTGGTACACTGGCATAAGTTGGTTGATCGTGGCTCATCGGGCCCTCTGCGATAAGAATGAAAAGAATTTTTGTTTACCAAGGTCATCCTTTTTTTTTTTTTTTACGAATATTTCCCCAAATATGTTTGTTCTTTTTTTCTATCCTTTTCTTACCAAGTATATTTGAATCTGGACATCGGCATATCACCAAATAATGAGATTTTCCCGTTCGAGTATTTTGAAGGGCTAGGAGAGACCAATCCCTCGGTGCTCTGCATTCTCGCATTTCAGCCACCGGTTCGCATGTTTTTACGAGTGTTAGAGCCTGGAAGAAGATAAACGATATATATATTTCTTTTCTACGAATTCTAATTAGTTAACAATAGTAATAGAAACCGATATCATTCGTCGAAATTAATAACAAAATATTAACAAAATTGTTTCTTTTCTTTTCTTTTTTCGTGGTTTATATTAATATAATTATATTATATTCTTAAAAAAAATATAATATATATATTACGTATATATCCATATAAGTATATGGGTTCTCTTAGTTACATTACTTTATGGTGGGTTTTAAGGAAAATAAAAGAGAAAGAGAACGAAAAAAGAGAACACGTGCGTCCACTGCGGTTTCTTTAGCAGACGAGTTACGTTTTGCGAGGTCGTTACACCGGTTGAAAGTGAGTGAACGTTTCTTGCGGACTGACATGCCGGTTTTCTACTTCTTCTTCTTCTTCTTCTTCTTCTTCCCTTATGTCCTCCTCAAGTTTCACGAAGTTTCTGCATTGCATCACTGAAGAGAAACTAAGATAGACGAATAGGAGGAGCAAATGCACAAGAGCAAAAGCAAAAGCACACGAGCACGAGCCGTAGGCATTCTCAACAACCGGTAAGCGGAATCCTACCGCTCATTATCCATACGGAATTGCTTCGTGACGACGAACAGCCATCCTCCTCCTCCTCCTCCTTTTCCTCCTCCTTCTCCTTCTCCTCCTTTTCGTTTAATTAATATGTATCGAGTAATTGGCGCGCATGTACTAGGAAATACACGGAGTGGTGGTAGGCTTTATCGTGATAGAACATTTATCTTCAGATCAAACGAATCCGATCAGTATTTAAATCTTTTTTTTTTCTTCCTATATTGTTAGAATATTAATACAGGTTAACCCTTTTTTTATAACACGGTAGGATAAGTTCTTAGAAAATGCTGTGTTGAGTGAAATCGTTTTATGTATAAGAATCCAATGTTTTCATTATTCTAAGATAATTTAGTTGTTTAAATATTTAAAGCAAATTTTTTTAATCGTATTAAAGAAGAATTCACTTGTAATAAGGTGAATTTAATAGGTTGATAATATAATGCAAGAATATAATTATTATTTATTTAGTATTTCTCTCGTCCAAAAATTACAATTTTTAATGATGAAATTTAACAGGGAACTTGGACATGAAAGAAGTAGAACTATGTTTGATTTAGTTGGACGTTTCGTCCCTTTATTGGGACTTCTTCAGCAACTTAATCTTTACAGTTCAGCGTCTTTTTTCATTGAGTAGACATACATTTTTCTTTTTATTATTAATATTCAAAACACAAAACATCTAAACTTCGTTAAATTGATCGTTATTATTTAAGTTCCTCAACAAAACTTTTATTTAAATAATAACGATCAATTTAACGAAGTTTAGATGTTTTGTGTTTTGAATATTAATAATAAAAAGAAAAATGTATGTCTACTCAATGAAAAAAGACGCTGAACTGTAAAGATTAAGTTGCTGAAGAAGTCCCAATAAAGGGACGAAACGTCCAACTAAATCAAACATAGTTCTACTTCTTTCATGTCCAAGTTCCCTGTTAAATTTCATCATTAAAAATAATTATTATTATTATTATTTGAATATGACAAATGTGAGATTGGGAATGAAAATTAGTCTAACGATTGGATTCAAAAAACTTGTCGTTTCTTTTAGATCAGTTCATTTATAAACTTCTTATACGAAATAGATAAATATAGTAATCTTGTTACCTTGGTACGCGGATCGGTGACCAATTCGGTGGTATGATGATCGTCACTGTCAAGGGAAGCACTGCAGGGGTCGCGGTAACGTCCAGGACAGGCGCAAAGTGGTTGAGTGAAGTTCAATCTGACGTAAACGGCATTGCAAACTTGTTGGACCGCGCACTCCGGAAGCAAATAAATGTGCTGATTGTGAGGATAATAATGATACTTGGTGGGCTTCGCCAATGCCGCGCTTGCACCTTCCGGCAATCTTACTCCTGTCTGCAAAATGGAGTACTGTGTTTTAAACGAACGCCTTTTTTTATTTTTTAACTTTTAAATAGCTTTTGTATAACCGTTCCTATCTAATCTAATGATTAATACTTATATTCATATATTAACATGTACATTGTATTAAGAATTATCTTTTCTTTTTTTTGGGTTATTTCTTAACACGTTGACCGTGACACCAGAGTTTTTTTTTTTTTTTTTAATTAGGCTCACGAGAGTCATCCATAGTTTTACATCTAATCTTATAATCGTGGCTTATATTTCTCTCACTCAACGTAATTAAACAAATCTTTTAAAAATATCTTACATATAATTTAGAGAATATAATTATTGGATGACGTATTCGAAAATGAATTTTTTTGTTCTATTAATTTTTCGCGTATCTTGAAAAGTATACCGAATGATGTTCGTATCATAGTGTATCAAATGTTATTCAAAATATTTCTTATTTGAATAGATTAATCGTATATTTATTTGAATGATTTTTAATCGATCCAAACAAGATTCTCGGGTAGTGGTAAGGAACTAAACAACCGTCGTTCGCATGTCGAACGCCGTTAAAACGATCTAAACGTATCTTTACGTTGGTACCGTAAGCAAATATCGTTGAGCGTGTTAACTCGACGCGTTGTAACCATTATAACGGGGCTTACCTCTTTGGGGGAGACATTGTTTCAAAGTGTATAGTAAGTAAGTAAGTAAGTACTTGTATCGAGTGTTAGAAGCAAGGCAAGTAATTTTGTCGAATGGAATTCGAATCCTATAATCGTTTATTTTCTAATCTTTTTATTCTTTTTAATTTTCTTTATTATTTTTCTTCTTCTTTCTTTTTTTTTTTTTTTTTTTATTCGCTTATAACATCTAACACTCTGGAAGAAAATTGAGTTTAGATAAAAAAAAAAAAAAAAAAAAAGAAAAAAAATGGAACGGTGAGGGTAATTTTATTTTTATTTATTATTTTTTTTTCAAACAATACCACGATATACCGTCGTTCTTTCTCGAAATTTTGTGATAACACTAAAAGGGATGGGAGGAGGAAAGGGAAAGAAAGATGAATGATTGGAATAGGGAAAAATCGAAAAATAAAGAATAAATATTTAGTGCAACACACGCGCGGTGTGAAAAGGACCAACGCAAATGGGAAGAAAATAAAATATTGAAGTTGAAGAAAAAAAAAACAAAATAATAATAATAATAATAAAAGGATAAAATAGAAAGGAAAAGAAAGAAGAAGAAGAAGAAGAAAAAGAAGAAGAAGAAGAAGAAGATGAAGAAGAAGAAGATGGATACTCATAGCAAGTTGTGTTCTTCCTGGAACGTGAAGCTATGCACCCCACCGGAACCTCTTAGCTCTTAGGGTGCACGAGTCTAATCTACACTTTCTTCCGGGTCGTACGTTTCTATACTTTTTCTTCTTCTTCTTCTTCTTCATCATCCTTCTATCTTTCTCTAGTATAGCATAGTAGTTCGTAGGCGTGTCCAATGGCAAACGTGAGAAGAAAGGAAGTGTCTTACACGCGCGTCGTTGTTGTGTGTCGTCCTTTATTCGCGTGCTAACTTCATGGGGTCAATACACATAGAGAAAGAAAAAAAGAAAAAGAACAGAAAAGAAAAGAAAAGAAAAGAAAAGAAAAAAGGGATAAAGAAGTTTCGATCACGAAATCTCGTCGACCTTTCGTGTGCAGCTGCTTTCGCGTGTCGAATCGATATTCTCCGTTTCGCTTCCGGTAGCTGTCCGGTCGTTCTACGGATGACGGGGGGGGTAGGGAAGGGAGAGATATGGGTGGGGGGGTGGTAGGGGGCAGCCATTCGATTTGATGGAACTTTTCTTTCTTTCTTTCTTTCAAATACCAACTTTTTGTTTCGAATTTCTTGTCTTCTTTTTTTTTTTTTTCATTTGGTTGCTTCATCATTCGTTCTTCGTACGTTGTTGTTTCGTGCCGAGAACGTTTAACCTTCGTTAAATGTGCAACCACATAGGGGTGGGAACTTCCTCGAATCGTTCGCATGTGATCCCGAGAGAACCAACGAAAGGAAAGATACTGATTTAGTATTTTTCTTCTGAAGTATTTTTTTTTTTTCTCCTCTTCCCCTTAATCCCAAGCAACAAAACACGCGCGCGTGATCGATTCCCCCCCCCCCCTCTCCCATCTCATTTCACGTATCTCGTATGTAATTCTTCCGATGATTTCATTCTTTCTCGTCCCAGCAGCAACTTTTACGAGAAGCTTCCTTTCTCTCTCTTTCATTTTTCCTGTGGATAATGTTTGATCTTGGTTTAAGAGTTTGATCGAATTTAGCAAGCTTTCCTTTTAGGAATAAATAATCTCTATGGGGTCGCTGACACCGTTGTTGAGGATCCTGGTATGTTACCTTGGTCCTATCTTATAGGTTACAACCATCACTAATACCATCAACAATAACATCAGTACCATCACCATAGTCATCATCATCATCATCATCATCATCATCATCATTGTTATTATTATTATTATTATTATTATTATTATCATCCTTCTAGAGTTTGCTTTACGTGATTCCTCTTCCTCTTCTTCTTCTTCTTCTCCTTCTTGTTCTTCTTCTTGTTCTTCTTGTTGTTGTTGTTATCTTTTTTCTTCTTCTTCTTTGTTTCTCCTTTTCCCTATCCTTGCCACGTTCCTGCGAATCACGCTCGTGGACAGGAGAGTTCGCTACTCGTTGTTCGAAAGTGCAATGATTCAGCGAAAGAGAAAGATAGCTTTAGAGGAGGAAAAGAGACTGACAATCTTCTGGCGAGCTTGTATAAGTCATGAAAAGAATAGAAATAACTCTATGACTCTGTGCCCCAAGTACTTTGTATAAATTATCTCTATCTCTTGTTCATTTGTACATATTATATCGTGAAGAATAATCAACAATTAACAATAATCTCAATTTCTTTATTTTCTTTTTTTAACGAAAGAGATTATTTTTCATATGGGAAATTAATTTTCGAACATCGTTTTTCGAAATAAAGAAAGAAAAAAAAGATTCATTTAATTTAGGGGCTGGGGTTTGGTGTGGTGGGGGGTTAGGTTCTTAAATCTTTCTGTTTGGTGGACACTATCAACAAATATGAATGTTAGATAAATTTTAAATAAATAAAATGCAATTTTGTGTGTTAACACATCGATCATTACATTGTAGTTGTGTATTTTTTTTTTCGTTTATCTCGTTAGTGATTACGTGACGTTTTGTAATGCACTCGATTACATTTGATTATTGTCTCGAAATATTGATTTACAAAGATTGAAGAAGTATCCAATCAAAAATGTTATTATTATATAATATTACCGTGATCGCATTGGTCAGTTTTTATTTATGTTAGAAATTTTTTTTTTTAAATACAAATACGCTGTTGCATGGAATATTTGATAACGATTCCTTTTTTTCTTTTTTTTTTTTTTATTATATACGCGATAATTAAATATAGAAAAATTCAACGCGATATAAACGAATAAAAGATTTTAATTACGTTTTACAAACTTAACAGCTAAAAGTTATTTTCTACAATAAAATAATTCGCGTTCTAATGTAAAAAAAAAAGAAAAAAAATCTATAATCTTTGAATAATTTCATATCCCATAGTATTCGCTAATTAGCAATTATGTTGAAAGTTCGTTGACCTTCGATGTTCGTTAAATTTTTACAATTACTTATCAAACAAAAAAACATTCGAATGCATATTACACTCACTGATGATCGATCATCATCATCATCATCATCACGGTTCCACGAACAATACAATCCGCGGTTCTTCT